CTTTTGTAATTAAAATCAACTTGGAAACAGAATGGTTTTAGCCAAGTCCCTGAGTCAAATGATTTTGGGGTCTAAAACCGAACTCGGAGCCATGATCATTCTTAGGTCAACCGGTCCACCCTTCCAGTCCAGTCCAATCTTCAAAACCATGGAAAAATATTCTATTACCAAAAGAAGAATATTCGGAAGATGGGGCCTATTGACCCGTTGCTGAATGACTTCTACCTAACATAAAGGCCATTGATTATGCATCATTATTACATTTTCAAGTATTTTCATCAAAACTTTTGACCACGGTCCAACTATTTATTCCAACCAAAAATAAGTGAAAATTCCTAATTACTACTCTATACTGTTGGGTCTACTGTCATTTAGTTTCTAAATTTTAAAATGCGATAATTTAATATCTAAATTTTTAAAACGCGTCAAYCTAGCATATGCAGTTAACCAACTGTTTATCAGTTGTTAAGTGGTATTTGAAAAAGATACAAATACTTTTTAAGTTTTACCTAATTTTCTTTATCAACCATCTAAATATTGACAAAAAATTAACAGTCCCAAATTTTTCCTTCTCTTATTCAAAAAAATTGGGGTTTCCAAATGTCACTCGAAAGTTATTTGTGTCTTTTACAAATATTATTTGTTGATTAATAACTTGTTAACAGTAGGTACTAGATTGACACATTTTGAAAATTTGAGTACTAAATTATCGCATTTTAAAGTTTAGAGAGCAAAATGGCACTAGGCCTAAAGTACAAGATACTAATTGAAAATTTTCCCTTTACATAATAATTTAAACCAATTCTTGACCCTTTTTTTTATGAATAAATTGATTCTTGACTTGGTTAATCTTCAAGGTATCACCTTTTTTTAGTGAAAAGTTATTGCCCATTCATTGATGGTTCTTGAATATCATCAAAAGTTTCAAAGATAGTTTCCCCAAACAGGATATGGATTTCTCTCCCAAAACGTTGGTTCCATTTTTCAATTATTTGATTTTTAATTTTTTTTCTAAATAAAAACTTTATCAGAACAGAGCACAAACAGAGCAACAAAATTTTTAAGATTTTAGGGTCTGTTTGGTTCATAGTCGGAATCGGAATCGAAACCGGAGTGGTTCATTTCCATAATCTGTTTGGTTCGGACAGGAATGAGAATGAGAATTAAAATCAGCAAAAATGGGATCTAATTCCTAAGGGAGGGGCAGGGAATGACCATTCCCTCAAATGGGGGAATGCCATTGCAGCAGGAATGAGAATGAGATTCTGATTCCGCTCAACCAAACAGTTRAAATCGGAATAGCTCATTCCAATTCTGATTCCAAACCCCTATTCCCACAAACCAAACGAGCCTTAGTTGTTTATTTCAACCAAAACTTTATTTTATTAGAATATTATAAAATTAGTAACAAGAATATAAAATATTAACAAATAATTAAAATTTATATAAAAAAAACTGTCTTGAAAATTTTCATCACTGAATATTCATCTGAAATGGCCTGGGTCAGTGGTTCACTGACCAAATTAACAGTTTTTTGCCAGGGGTTTTGGGGTGAAAATGTTACCGGTTTTTCTGGTCCAGTTTTGAAAACACTTGTGTAAATTCATTGGTATTTGTCAATCTAGATTACAAATTTACATCGTTTATTGATCTAGCATAAATCCCCAATTCCCCAGCTCAGATTTTTTTTATAAATAAATAAACTATATTATAATAACAAAAGATTAATAAAGTAGTTTACATCTGGCACCCCATGGGGGTAATGGTACAGCTGAAAAAAATCCCCAGGTCAGATTGGTTCTCTTTTCGGAGTAATAAGGCCATTGTACAATGTTGGTCCCGTCTATCTAGGGCCTTCTGGAATTGTAACTTAAAATCAATGCTAAGGTCGAATTTATTTGTAATACAATTTCATTTGTATTTGTGCAAGAGTATGAAAATGCAAATGAGTTGATTGTAAATTTGAATTTTTTTTTGTTTGAAAATATATTTTATTGAATGAATAAAGCCTGAGCAAAGTAAAATCTCAAACGAAAAGGAACCAGATTTTACACTTATTTACACTCTCGCACATTTGTGATACCTAACAATTTAGTCTAAATAATGCAAATACAAATATGTACAATACAAAATCTTGTATACGTATTTCTGAACCTTATATTTATTATACATATATTTGTATTTGTATTCTTTCCAAACTTAGTCTTACCATAAATCAGTTGATAAATTCTCTCGCTAGTTGCGGTGCAGATTTTGGATCAAATCCCGTTGCCACCAAAGATTAGAGAAGGGGTTGTGAGTATTAGAGAGGGGCTATCCCTGTTGTGCAATGCAGGGGTGCAATTTAGGTTGGACCGAATTACATTTCTTCGGGTTTAGGCTTCCAAATTGCATCCCTACCGTTGTGTAGCCACACTTTGGCAAATTTTATCAAAGTGTGGTCCATTAAAACATTAAAACCTTAGAAAATCCTTGATCGATACTCTGGCGCTCCCATTCCAGTTGATCAAGGTCTAGGGTTGGGCAGAGATCATACGTTTGGTGGCCATGACCCACGACCATGAATATCGCCGACCAGTGTGAATTACAGACATCCCAGATTCCCAATTGGACTAGCTAGAACTAGAAGCCTATTAACTAGTCTTTGGCCAATGACCCGTCGTAGGCCGTTAGTGGCTTTGTGGATCTGTTGATTGATTCCTGTCCTCTTTTAAATCAAATCAAATGGCACCGTTAAAATCTGTCTACAGAGGCCACATTTCATAGACTATTGTATTGGGCGTTTCATACTCAGAAACGCTCTTAGACATCTATTCACCACTAGTCAGCTCTAATCTCTATCAAAGTGTTGGATAATTTTGTATGTCCTTAGCTTCAATCTGATTTGATGTACTTTTGATATTTAGTGTAAATAAATAAAGTACATGTTTGATTCATATTGTTTTGTGTAATTCTGTGTAAGACCCTGAAACTGGACGTTTATTGAGACTCGTGTTAATTTTAAATGTTCACAGCCATTGGATAAGTCTGGGGAGATTTATCCTGTCAAGGCTAATACTGGTGTACCACCAAGTGTTGGGATAGTCTGTCTCGGCCACCAGGGTAAGACCCAAGGCACATGCAGTATGGGATTACTTGAATTCTTGAACCGGACCAGATTTCTAGTATTGCCCTGGACCTTGGAGACAGATGAGCAAAACTGAAAAGTTACACCTGACCCCTAAACTCGACTATGATGCTTCACTAAGTGTCAGATCAGGCTGTCTTTGATATGCCAATCAGTGAGATCCTTAGCAGGGGTCAAAACCTGGGCATGTTGGGGCAGTTTGAGAATTCATCTGAGTGGGTGATCATAGTGACAGGATCAGCCCCTTTGTCGAACAAAGGTAATGATCGGGAATGCACTCTCTCTGATGGAAACCAAACTGCCGGTAGTTGATTTCAATCGTTGGAATTTTGTTTTGCAAAATTATATATATATGTATGTATGGTTTCAAAATGTTTGCAAATGGTTTTAATTCCCAGGATCCATGTGAGTGGAGAGTGCAACACTGTTCCTTGCAGTTGAGAGAGAGGTCTTCTCTTGTCAAGCAGTGCTTGATCATTATGGGCTGAGAGGTTAAGTGTAAGGCCATTTAGGATAGTATCTAATGGAATAATCTTGCACCTGCCCACTATCCCTGGGTTTTTATAAGATGGCTTGGCCCAGGGACCACTTAATGTAAGTGTTGGGCCCATAGGGTCCATGTGATGGGCTCAGGGGTTCATTGAGCTTTTCAGTGAATTCAGCTGAGTCTTGTAATAAAGGCTGGGCCGAACCCATGTGGCTGGTGTGTAGATCAATGCTTGGGTCCCACGCCATACAAAGAAGTCCAACTGGGCAGCAGATTGGAAACTAGTTAAGCATTGAATACTAAATGGGTCAAAAGCCCATTTTGAGCTGGGCTGATATGATCACCCATCTATGAGGCCTTTAACTTTATCCACTCTAGGAGATCAAATTCAAATCAGATTTGAATCTTGTAACCTCCTGATAAGATCAGGAGTAAGCTAACCTAATATGCAGATAGGATTAAGATCATCCCTATCCAGATACTGATTTGGATTGGGATAACTCCTAATTGGATTGGGAGGTTTCTTAATCAAGAAGAAAAGAGGAGAAACCTTAAGAGAGAACATCATCAGAATTCGAACCTAGGGTTTTGTGTAAAAAAAAAACATCATGCGAATTGATATTGGATCTCATACACACTCCAGAGAAAAGAGAAACGATTTCAGCCATCATTATCTCAGGAGTTCTTCTCCAGCCGCTGCCATTTTTCTAACAAGATTCGATCTTTGGAGGAAAGAAATCAAAAAATCAGTTCTTGATATCAGTTTTGCAGAAAGAACTGAAAAGATTCGGTGCTCAGTGTTTCCAGAGGATTCTTGCGAAGGATTCAGTGTGTAGGATGCACTCTGCTGGTTCCGTTCCATACATTGCTGTGTCATCTTCAGCAGGAGCGGATCTTGGTGTCCTCTTTGGGCGTGAATACCAACTTTGGGAGATACTGTTTCTCTGGATCAAGTATAATCCCTCCCTTGTCTTTAGTTTAAATCTGGTTCGATTATGGTTTAAGTAGGACCCTTGAATATTGTATTCTTAAATTATGGAATACGATTCCCAGTTAGAAAAAGGTAAGAAAATTTTTGAAATTCGCCCACCTATTCTACAATCTTTATGACGCCCATACGATGAATCCTACTATCCTTTCACAAAGGTCCACCTGACAAAACACAAGTAAACAAATGAGATGACCAGACTCGACTTGTCTTTAGTTCATACCATAAGCAACACCCTAGACTTGGTCGATCCAGTGACTGATGGATCTTATATTCTTACTACCTGGTCAAGCTATTGCATTGTTAATTTGGCAAGTCTAGTTCATACCTGAACACTTTGATCCAGGAACCCCCGAAAGCAATGACATAACAGATATAATAACAATAATAAAATTCATCGAATATGTTGGACACACATCAAAGGCTCCATGCACGGATGTAGTCCATAAACTTGGTTACCTCAAACTAATTTCAGTTTCCTGGGAAAGCAAAGGATTCTTTACCGCATCTCATTGTCTCGAGCAACCAAATGGAGCCTTGAAGCTCACAGTTTTTTTATGCACCATTGATTAGCAACATTAGAATTGGGTTCCATGCATGATGCATCTTATGGGAGGAAGATCAGAAGAACTGGAAAGTGTGAGCATTTCTATATGGTATTCCCCGAATATCAAATCCAACTTTTTCTTTGCACAGCTATCTTTGGTTCCTGTCAAGAAATCTATATCCTGTTCTCCTCCATGGATGTATGGCTTCTAAACAAATCCTTCTCTGGTTCTCTTCCTTGAGAAGATTATAAAAGACGAGGAAGCAGACCGAACCCATTGGGACCCATTACCTGCTTTTCTCAATCTTTGCATGTCCATTATTATGTTGTCCATCTCTGCAGATTATACCTTTTTGATCTTTCCCCATGGACTGTAATTTAATGGGTCTTGCATATTCTGTGACTCTTTGAGCTTAAAGAATCACCACTCACCTTTGAAGTTCTCATCTCATCCCTCGGAAGTAGTTCAACGCCTTCATGATCTTTTTTTTTTATTTATTTTATTTTTATAACCCACCACGCTGCCATGCTCTGTCTCTGATTAATTGTTTAGAGATCACACACCTTTCGGTTCTTTGTCATCTGTTCTTCAATCCTCTTCTCCTTTCCTTTATAAGCACAGCCATTCCAATAAAAACACTCCACTGCTTCCCGGTTCCCAGCTTTCTGATTAAGGAGTGAACAGATTGCACTGCTCAAGAGTTCTGTTCCAGAAAAAGAGGAAAAGAAGAAAGGGAAACGTACTCATGGCAGCAACGCTTTTTCTTCTTTTCTTCCTCTGTGTCCTAGTCTCCACTAGTAAGTTTCTGAGAGAACTGAAATATGGGTTTTCTTTCTACATTATTCGATCTCTAACCCCTTTTCGTTTCATTAACAGATGCTGAGATCTCTAGCAAGATGGGTATAAACTACGGTCGGCTGGGAAACAATCTCCCATCACCATCTCGTTCGATCGAGTTCATCAAAACCCTGGAAGCAGGTCGCATTAAGCTGTACGATGCAAACCCAGAAATCCTGAACGCCCTGGCGTGGACCAATATCCAAGTATCAATAATGGTTCCTAACCAGTTAATATCCAATATCTCTTCCAGTCAGGCCGTCGCAGACGAATGGGTGCGAACGAATGTCATCCCTTTCTATTCCAAGACTTTGATTCGCCATCTCCTTGTCGGCAACGAAATCTTTAACTTCTACTCCGACGAAGACAGGCAAACCTGGTACAATCTCGTCTTGGCAATGCGTCGAATCAAGCATTCGCTTTCAACATATAACATCCGAAACATCAAAGTCGGGACACCAGTCGCCATGGACATACTAGAAACGGCCTTCCCACCTTCGAACGGAGCGTTTCGGTCCGATATCGCCGTACCGGTGATGAAGCCTCTGCTTCAGTTCTTGAATCGAACTAGATCGTTTTTCTTCCTCGATGTCTACCCTTACTTCTCCTGGTCCAGAGACCCCACGCGCATCAACCTGGATTACGCGCTTTTCAGAGGGAACCGAACCTATACCGACCCTCGGAGCAGATTAACCTACACCAACCTCCTCGACCAGATGCTTGACTCGGTTATCTTCGCCATGACCAAGCTCGGGTTCCCAAACGTAAGGCTGGTGATCGCCGAGACAGGGTGGCCCCATGCCGGAGACATCGATCAAATTGGAGCGAACATCTTCAATGCCGCCACGTACAATCGGAACCTCATCCGGAGAATGACGTCCAAACCGCCAGCCGGAACGCCGGCCCGACCGGGTGTGGTCATACCGACTTTCATTTTCGCATTGTACAATGAGAACCAGAAGGGTGGACCGGGAACGGAACGACATTGGGGACTGATGAATCCGGACGGAACCCCGGTTTATGAGGTCGATCTGAATGGGAAACGGCCGGAAAATGACTTCAAGTCGTTGCCGGCGCCGTTGAATAATGAGCTGTACAAGGGGAAGATTTGGTGTGTGGTGGCGGACGGAGCGAATTCAACCGAGTTAGAATCGGCGATTGAGTTCGCGTGCCGTCTGGGAAACAACACGTGCGATGCGATCCGGCCCGGGAGCGAGTGTTATCACCCGGTTTCGTTGGTCTCGCATGCGAGTTACGCTTTTAGTTCTTATTGGGCCCAGTTCAAGCAGTCGGGTGGGACTTGTTACTTCAATGGACTAGCTGTTCAAACCACAGAAGACCCAAGTAAGTCTTCTCTTCATTGTAGAATGAATCGCGGTAGCCTCTTGAAGCCGTCAGATCTGAATTCGAAGTGGGACCCACATAAGGGATTCCAATCAGACGGTTTTGATTTTCTGAGTTCTGCTTATATGTTACACCCAACCATTACGGTTTCTTGCTTCACATATTCAAAATTTCTAATTTTGGTTTTTTTTTTAATTACTGATTTCTGGCCTTTTTTTTCTGCAGGTAATGGATCGTGCAAGTTCCCAAGTGTGACCCTTCGAGGATGATCAAGATAAAGATGTTTCAGAGATACAAGGAAAAGGGCTTTTCTTTTTCTCCTTTCTTCTAATTTGTTAGTGCATACTTAATTGACCCAGTTTGGTTTTCTTTTCAATTTTTCAATTACAGGAATACCATGTTAGATACAATTGAGTGTGAAAAATGGAAATGATTTTCTGGTTATTTGTCTGAATATTTATTTAATACTATCAAAGTCTCAAGTTTCAAGTCCTTGTCTTCTTCTTGGCTGTTCCAAATGAGTCCGGATCTGCTTAGATCCAAATTTGATTTTTTTTTAATATTCGAATTTAATTGGGATCTTATCCATTGGATTTATGTCAAGTTCAAATGGAATTCGGGTTGCAATAGGATATTGAATGGTGCAATTTAAAAATGATTAAAAATATTAATAAAATGAATTAAAAATGATTATTTTTTTTTATAAAAACTATGGCCCTGTTTGATTTGCGAGAATAGGGGTCTGGAATCAGAATCAGGCCATTTCGATTCAACTGTTTGGTTGAGTGGAATYGAAATTCCATTCTCATTCTTGTTAGAATGGCATTCTCCCATTAGAAGGAATGGCCATTCCCTGCCCTTTCCTTAGAAATTAAATCTTATTCCTTTTGATTCTAATTTTCATTCTCATTCTTATTTGAACCAATCAAAATGAACCATTCCGATTTCAATTCTGAAGAATTTCATTTCCAATTCTGACTCTGATTTGGACCGCGAACCAAACAAATCCAAAGCAAATTACTATTAGTCAAAAACAGATTACATGGTAAAAAGGAGGAAGCAGCCACACCTGCTCCTCATCAAAAGACTTGGCCCTGAGTGTTAACTGATGGGCCAGAGAATTTAAAGACCTACAAATATAAGCAAAAGAAAAAGGAAGAAAACACAGATGAACAGCTCATAATATCATCTACAATAACTAGACAAATCCAGGGGAGATTACAAACCATTCCATTAACAGCACAAATGGAGTGGTGAGAATCTGAAACACACAAAAGCAGGAAGATTTAAAGACTTCGCCAGCTGAACTCCCTTCCTAATCGCCCACAGTTCAGCTTCAACAACACCCGAAGAAATCAAACATTTTCCTCCTGTAGAAAAGATAAACTGATCATTAGATCTATCAATCGCCACACAAGCAAAGAATCCAACAGTACTAATAGTCCCTCCATCACAAAAAAAAAAAAAGAAAAAAAAAAGTTATAACGTCCTGATTACATTTWGAAGAGGGAAAGGCAAATCTCACTAAAGGTCAGGCTCCCAGAAGAATCCCCTACTTCCATGCTAAATTCAAACAATCCAAGTAGGCCCCATTTAGACGGTTAATGAAAATATCCAAAGGCACCCATTGACCCTAAACACCAGAGACAGCTAGAGATTATAGCAAAATACTGCAAACCAAACCAAAATGTTATCACAATCAGCCGAGATTTGCTAAGAAGATAGCAACTTCAACAAAGCATCAGGCACATCATTATCCTACGGCTGTCAACGGGTCAGGTCTGGGACCCTAGCTATATCAGAACCTAGCTAGAACCGATCCGTCAGTTCCAATTCTTGAAACCAGAATTGGCCCAATCGGTTCCGGTCCAACCCATTGACAGCCCTAATTATCCTTCAAGATTTCAATCCTAAAACAACACTAGAAGCAGTCTAGACTATACTCTAGCAAACGAGCAAGCAAAAAACAGGTGGAACAGAGTTTCATCATGCTCCAAACAAAAGGTACATTTCTGAGAGATATTAAAACCACAAGCCTGCATTACCGAGGCAACTGAAACAAAACCCCTAACAACTCTCCAAAGAAACAGCTTATGACGAGGTAAAGCCTTAGCCTTCCAGATAAAGTATTACCCGTCCGAGACCATGACCAATAAATAGCTCTCTTAACAGAGAACTCTCCATTGGAAGCCATAGTCCAGACAAAGGGATCACCCTGAAATATGGGTCCGGAGGATAGCCTTCCCCCCCAAATTTCCAAAAACACCCAAAACTCTATCCGCATTCCAAGACCCCTGATTATTGATTAAGTCAAAGAAAACTAGGTCCTTCTCATTTCTATATATTAGAGGTTTTTTTTTTTGAAAGATGAAATATAACAATATATTAAGAAAATGAGATACCATTAAATCTTCTATTAATATAACTACACTTCATAGATTGAAACGTCCGTAGGAGGCTGATTGCTTGACTTAATAGATGCAAAAGAGGCCATTGAGTAGTTCCTTTCCCTTGAAGAGTTTGAATTATTAGTTGTGAGTCTTAGAAGAGCAAAATATGTTGCTTTCTGAATCTCTTAGCCTGAAGTAGACCTTGGTATATAGCAAACAGTTCTGTATCTTCAACTGATTTTAAGATTTTCCTTCCTCCTGGGATTTGAAGACATTCTATATTTAGATTAAGGAGAATGATTCCGAAACAAAATTCAGAGTAGATATCTTCCCTGCATCTGTGAAAATAATTCCATCTATATGTGGTTGCACAGATATTGTCAAATGATTGCTTGAAATTAGAATTAAATTTTGAGAACTGTTGTTAAGAGAAAGATTATTAAAAATGGTATTGATTTTTCGTAAAATCCAATGGTTTGAAACAACTATATCTTTAAAAGATTTTTTGTTTCGAGCAAACCAAATATAGTAAAGAGCTATTGCAAACCAACTTAGAGATTTTAACAAATTGTTTATTTCTGGGAAAAGGTTATGGAGATATAGGATGCAATCCTGCCAATTTGAACAATGGGAGAAATTGATATTCCAAGGAGATGCAAATAAGATAGATCCAGTAAAGACAAGGCACAATCTAGGAAAAGATGATAAAGAGTCAGAATTATTTTGACAAAAAACACAAGATTGGTCCAGGACATTAAAGATCTGAGTTTTAACAGGAATGAAGTTTTGAATAACTCGCCACAGAAATAATTAATATCTAGGTAGGAAAGGAAGTTTCTAGATCCATTTAAAGCACTTTTTGAGATTACTTGAGATATTTGGAAGATCATCTTGAATTAAATCTCTATAAGGTGCTGCTATGGAGAATTTACCTAAAACKTGTTTTATCCAAACCCAAGATAGAGGAGTATGAGATGAGTAAATAGGGGTTCGGCAAATGAACTGAATTTGATCTGAATTAAAATATTGCATTATGATTCATTAAATATCTAGTCATTTAATAGCTGGACCCACAGGGCTGAAGACTTATTTAAGAAGCTCTAGGCCAACTTTAATTGAAAAGCCTCGTTAACTTCTGCTGTTTTTCTAAGCCCCAAACCTCCCTCAGATTTAGGAGATCAAATCGTATCCCAATTACACCATCCGAAACCCTGCCTTACCCTGCCTTTGATTAGAGGATTTCCACCAAAAACTCTTCTGAACTAGTGTTTTAAAAGCACAAGGCTCTAAAAAGGTGGGCAATTTGCGCTCAAGGCGCAAGAAGCAAAGTGAGGCGCACATCATTTTGAAAAAGGTGCACAAAATTTTTAGAAAATGCAAAAAAATAGAAAAAAAAAATATATATATATATATATAAACATTTAAAAATCAGAAAAAATACAAAACCAATAGAAATCTAAATTTCTAAGAGTTAAGAGTTAAGATATGAGTATGACGATGCAATCTAAAGTTTTAATTTCTATTCTAAAGTCTAAAGTCTAAACTCTAAAGTTCTAAACAATTAAATAATTAAACTAACATAGTATCCATTATCAATGATTCAAATAATCATATTATTCAAATATAAAAAGATATTAAATCAATGTCACTAATGCACTTATAAATTACAAAGAATTTAAATATCATGAATAAAATAAGAAAAAAAATATAAATATAAAAGAAATTACAAAGACACTTACCTCTCTAAGTCTCCAATATCCATGACTCACACATATGAGATTATGAGTTATGTCATACAATAAAAATTAATCATTTACAATGGAAAAGCAAATGAAGAWTGACAAAGTATTTAGTATCATAAATAATGAACAAGAATACAAATATAAAAGTAAGTTATTAAAAGAAAACTTACCTCTCCAAGTCCAAGACTCCAAATCTCCACTCTCCATGGTGTTAAACAATTAAGCCTCAATAATCAATACCACTTACCGCAATCACTAAATCACTACATCTAATATCTAGTAAATGGTAATCAATAAATTCACACACGACACAAATTCACATTCAAATCATTGATGATTGATCAAGATTCAAGATTAATAGTAAATATTAACAAAAAACAAGTATGGTGTCAAAAAGAAAAAAAAAAAAACACACACAAGTCAGTCTTAAACAAAACAAACAAAAAAAGAGTATATCTTCATTCTTCAACCTTTAAAACAAGGCTATCTGAAATAAATTACTCTCCAAATGTCACACATTCACTTTTCATTTCCATAATCTTCTTCCTATTACTCTCCCAAGGTCTCTGTCCTCAAACTCTTCATCTTCCAAATGAAGTTAAGAACTTGAACCCCCTCTTGATCTTCTTGCATTGGCTGATGTTGCTGATCTTGCATGAAAAGTTGAAGCTACACTTGAACCTCTATTTCTTGTGCTCCTTATTGGCTCTTCGACTTCCGAAGCAAGAACCACATATCCCCATGTTAAAGAATTATTGTCAAATACTAAATCATTTTCAGCTATACCATCTTCATGTGCCATCTCCCCTACTATATCTTTCAAAGATATAGGGTTAGTGACACTACGTGAACCAAAGTTCTCTTTAAGCAACTGGTTAGACTTAATGGAGATTATTGATGCTTGGATTGGCCAAGGACAACAAAGTAATTTCATCCCTAGACTCCAGAGAATTGTTGATGCTTGGGTTGGCCGAGGACAAAGTAAATTCGTCCCTAGGCTCCAAAGGTTGACCGAAGGCTTCGAGGGTTTGGAGAGGTTGCTGCCGAGGCCGAGGTATGTAGGCCGAGGCAGAGGAGTCTCCGAGCACTGTAAAAGCCGAAGGTGGGTGGCTGAGGTATTGCAAGACAGAATACGTCAAAGGCCCTAAATGAGAACCYGAGGTAAAGTCTCTGACGGTCAAGTTAGTATGGGGTACGAAGAGGGGAACTAGGATATGGTTTGTGAGCCTAATTCCAAATTCAGACTGTAAATTGTAATTTCAGCCTAAACAGCCTTCGACTTCACAGGCCCCCGGCCTAAACAGCCTTCGAC